GCCAGGCGAGCACGCTACCGCTTTAGCCACATCCCCAGCCCCTATTTCTGTGTATTTTAATAAGAAATAAAAATCACACAGCTACCAAAGTAATTTACCTGTTTTAGGAGTCAGAAAAAAATTAAGAAGAAATCTCTATTTTAAAATACTCTCATATTTTATGCTTTTTATACTCTCCAATGATTATTCTTACAGATATTTAATGATAGGATTTTTAAATGTTTACTTCATATGAATTTTCAAAATTTATTTCCGGATTAAGGTTCTTCATGTTTCTTTTGTATAGATAGGTATAGTTATTAACAGAGTTATAGATGAAATGTCCATACATATAAGATCTATGTGGACCTCACTTACTGAACAGCTACAAATGGTTATCGCACTACTCTCCACCTCTGTGAAATGAACAGATAGTTCCCTAAAAGGGAAATAGTGTGACTTGAAAATAAATTTTGTGTGATTTCATCAAATCATCCTTGGGGATAGAACCTGGAAGCAAACATATTACAATGCCAAATGTGTTCCTCAGGAGGCCAAATAAATTAAATCTTTGGCAGGGAAGTGTTCTGTAGACAGTTTGAAGTCACTATTTATGATGACACAAAATTAAGGGACCCTTCAGACCAGTTCATTATTTTCTGCTAATTATGCTAAAACTATTAACTTTTTTTTTCTTGGGGGGGGTACCAGGGATTGAACTCAGGGGTGCTCAGCCACTGATCCACATCCCCATTTCATATTTTATTTAGAGACAGGTTCTCACTGAGTTGCTAGTGCCTTGCAGAGGCTGAGGCTGGCTTTGAACTTTTGATCCTCCTGTCTCAGCCTCCAGTGACGCTGAGATTACAGGCAAGTGCCACTGCACATGGTTTAAAACTATTAACTTTTCAAAGTATTTTCATTTTCCTTCTAAACATCAGTAGTTAAAAGAAGCAAACAAACCATGATTTAGGTCATGATTACTATATTCTTATCTGTTAAACATATTAACAAATATCTCAAATCAAGGTCATTGCAAAGTTATGGCATAGGGTGAAGAGATTGCTTCATGAGGGCAAATGTGCTCTCCAGCCACCAATAAATACTTGCTTTTAAAAAGGGAGAATTAAATTTTGCTCCTGTTATCACTTCCATTCAAGTTATGGTGTTCAAAACTGAAATCGCCAAGCTCTGTACCTTAGGCAGTACAAGAACAGGGCCACAGAACATAAACTTCAAGGAAAACAGAGTGACATCTATAGGTTATGAGGCAAATTACAGCTGTTAACTCTGGACCTTATTGCTAATATTGTTAACTCTGTGTTTTGTTTGGTTTTGCTTTTATTTAACTTGGGTGTTTTGTAGGAAAAAGAAACAAAAATTAACTCAATTGCTAAAGATTTCATGAACTGATGATTACGTGATCCACTGTTTCATACAAAATTTTAGTAAAATGTACAATGAAATCTCAAACTTGATGAGAAGTATGCCAGGGTTCAACTTTAAAGAGGGCACACAGCTACAACAAAATAAAACAAATCAAACAAAATAACACAGAGATACCTAAAATCAATTGCTAAAATGGTAATAATAAGAATTAGTGTGTGCATGTATAAAAACAGAATAAAATAGAAGATAAAAAGATATCTTTATGATGTCTATGTAAACAATTTTATAGGGCAGTCCCAAAGACACAGACTGTAAAATTAAAGAATGATGTATTAAAGCATGAAAAATTAAAAACTTTTATCACAAGACATAAAATAAAAAGATAATCAATAAACTGTAAAATATATTTTCAATAATGTAATAATTAGTATCCAGAACATTGAAAAATTCTTAAAAATAATAAAAGAAAAACAATTCAATCAGAAAAAATGAACAAAAGAATATACAAGCATTCCAACAAAAATAGAAATATGAATAATTAAAATAAAATTATTCTCAAAAAAAAGCAAATCACAAGCACAGAAAGACTCATTTCATGCCATCAGACAATGTAAATATTGTTGTCTAACCAGAAAAAAATTGTTGGTACAATGAGGAGCTATGGCCACCAATACAAGATTGTGGTAGTCTAATAAATGCTATTACTTTGGAAAATTATTTGACATCATTTGTAATATGAGCATTAGGTAATCTTTTGACCTAGCAATGTTTTCTTTAGTATATATAAGAAAAAATTAGCATGTATGCTGCACAAAACATACGAAATAAAATAAATTTTGAACTTTGTAATAATAAAAGACCAAAAGAGCAATATGTCTATAGATAGCATAATCATAAATAAACTGAAGATTTATATATTGGAATATCACACAGAATACAAGTAAACAAATTATAGTTTCTCAATATGTAACTGGATCTTAGGACCATATGTTACATAAAAATAAAAGTGAAGAATATTATGACTAAAATCTATTACTTTCAAAAAAAATAAAATAAAATAAGTAAAGCCACATATTTTCATGAAGACATTTGATAAAATGAATTGTTTTAAAAACAAAATAGAAAAAAACAGGAAAGATACATACAAAATTCAGGAGATATTGCAATATGGAACTTTAAGTGTTAATGACATAACTATTAAATTAAATAATGAGTTCACAGGTGGCATGTCATTATGTTTTATAATTTGCATATTCATTAGAGTAATTATTTCATGTTTTAAATTATCTTGGTATACACAAAATTGTGCATGTACATTTTTCTCATTCAATTCTAACATACTGAGAAGTGATCAATTTCCATATTACTGAAAAAGGAAATGCTCAGATTCACTTACCCATGTCACACATCTAATTAGAATCAAATTGAGATTGGTATCTTTTCCAATGCTCATATCATCTTACAGTGAACATCTTTATTTGAGGAATGGTAGAACATACGAGGATATCTGATAATACAGGAATTTCCCCAGATTACTTTGTGGAATTAGATTAAAACAATAGTAGATTCATAAAAACATGGTTTTAATTAATTTTGAACATGAGTCTAAAATAAAAGTATTTTATTACTGTTGTGGTATAGTGGGTGGGAGCAAGGATGATGTCCAGGTGGTTGTCTTTAGCTCCACATGTAGGTAGATTTGCAAGATATTCCTTTCCTGCCATCAACATTGTTCTAGGCACATAAGTCTACCCTTTATGTTAGATACTTGCCAGTATCTTGAGATTTAAGAAGGGTTAATGGCAGTTGAGTAGAAATGAAGCGTCCACCTGGGGTACTTTGAATCTGGATACAGCAAACTCTGGAGATGTGCAGGAATGTCATCTCTGTTGAGTGAACAAAAGACAAATATGCTCCATGCTCATGGAAACATGGACCTTAGAAAAAAAGTAGCAAGCTCAAGTAATACTTTAGCAAATGCTAGTGTGATGCTCTCCAAAAGTGTTCTATATGGTTTGTGTTCTTTGGCTTGACACCCATGTGTCTCAGGATATGATATTAGCTACAATGATGGTTGGAAAATCTCTGGATGCTCATTGAATTATGTACAGCAAGGTCTTAGAGGGATTTGTTGCCTCATCATACCTGTCAGCCTCTCTTTATATTATCTTATATTTCATTCTTCTTCTAAAATCAGGCAATTCCTTATGCCTTAATAATTCTCATAATATAGGCTCCCCGTGTGCTCAAAATTCTTTCCTAGGAAATAAGGACAGAATTTTCATAGTTGAGTCACTGTAGGAAAGACAACTAAGATAAAATGCTAACCATAATTATTTTAATTATTTCTTCATAATATGATCTAAGATTTCTCAAGCATTTTATTTATGGTGGTAACCCATTTACTAACTTTTCCTACGACATCATGTGGCAAAGTGCTTTGGTTGAATAAATTGGAATCTTAAAGTGACATTTAAAATTTATCTTTGCCAATATGTTTTATGGTCAAAGTTTAGAAATATAAATAAAATTTAGAAATATAATATTAATGGAATGGTAACAATTGTTTTGCAATTATTTTACTTAATATTAATAAGCTATTTAAATATAAGATTAAATAAATATATTTTGCTAACAAGAATACTTTATCTATCATAATAACTCCTTCCTGCAGGGCACAGTGGTGCATGTCTATGATTCCAGTGGCTTGGGAAGATGGGGCGGGGGATCACTAGTTCAAAGCTAGCCTCAGCAAAATGTTAAGCAAAAAGTAACCCAGTGAGTCCTTGTCTCTACATTAGTCTGGGGATGTACCTTAGTAGTAGAGTGCCCCTGAGTTCAACCCCCTTACTCCCCCAAATAGTAATAACCATCATAATAATAATATTAATAATAATAGCACCTTCCTAAAAAGAAAAGAAGCTCTATTTATTGAATACATATCAGGCCACAAGTGGTATGTTCTCTTATGGATATTATTGTATTGTATTTTTTTCTTCAAAACAAAATGAAGTAAGCCTTATTTAATTTGTAAATACTTCCAAATTAGAGAACAAAAAATTATATGTTCAAGGTAACAAAACAAGTAAGTGGCTACTTGCTTCTGAAGACTATATTCCAGCTGTCTACAATGCTCCTTATAACATAGGGTTAAAGGTGAAAAAAGAGTTAAATAAATATGTTTGTTGTTGATTTTCATCTGATATAGCCAGTGTGAAATATCTGATTTTACCCTTTTTCTACAAAGTAGATCTAATTCTGATAACTAGCACTAAATCTCTGAAAAATAGTGTAATATATAAGGTTCACTGAACAATTCGGAATCCAACCATAACTAACAGTCTTTTTATTGGTTCTTATGTTTGCAGTGATGGTTAAGTACTACAGTAGTTATATTCTAATTCACTGTAATTACATTGTTTTATTATGCTGTTCATAAAGTATTTTACACAGGTGATTATGTATGTGATTTTATTTTATACAAATTATCTTCCAACTCATTTTGAAATGTAAATTAATACTATTAATTACTATTCATTTGTAATTCCTTTAGAATGCATTGTTTGAGCAAAAGTTGCCGGTTCATGAAAAACCAGAGATCAACAACTCTCTTCAAATCTCTCATTGACAGATTCCTCTAGACAACTCATAGTCACAACAGGAGAAGAACTATTAAAACAGGAGGCCTAGTTTTTATTACAGTTGTTTTCCAAATTCTTAGAAGAGTGTCTGTCATATAGTAAGTGCTTCCTAAATATTTGTGGAGTAGATGATTTGCTCTCAATTCACTGGTAATATGGTTGCTGTGAATATATGCCTGCTCTTGCTGATTATTTGTTCTTATATACCAAGATTTTATTATACTTGAGAAAGGAAATAAAATTGAAATAAAAGTTCAAACATAATCAAAGGCCTTAATAGCTTAAAAATGATATAAAGGTTGCAGGGTAAAAATATTGGTCTAATACTATAAAGTAAAAATTAAATCATATTTTGTAATTACTTCAATTATATTTCCAAGCTGTTGTTTTTATATAACATTGTAAACCAATTTAGAAATAAATTAACACTAATATTTTAACATGCATTTTAGTGTCACCATCCCTTAGGTGAAATATGGTCTAATTTTGTATAATATAATAATATTATATTATATTTATATAATATTTATATTATAAATATAAATATTATATAATAAAATAATATTTCTTAAAAAATTAATCAAATGTTAATACTTTATTTTAAATTTTTGGAAAATTTATGATTAATACTAATTTTAACTGTAGTTTTTAGATGTCTCTGATGAAACAAGATGCTGGTGTAGCTGCAACAGTTGCAACAAATCCTGAAATTATACTGATAAAATCTTCATATGAATCTTATCTTCAAAGACAATTTCAGTAGTACTGAACTATGTTCATCTAACAAGTGGCTATTTAGAGAACTAAAGTTGTGCCATAGTTTAAAGAAAACTTTTTGAATTAGGCATTAAATCCACATTAATCAAACATCCCCAGTTATTAATTAGAAGAAGTTCTGGAAGTGCTAATTGTGCCACTAGGGAATCTTTAAAGTTTATTCTAGATTTGCTTTGAAGTTTTGTCAAAGGAAAAGATGTGGAAAATATTTGGATGTGTGACACCTAGCTATACATAAGCACTATCATAGTTCTAAAGGATATTATAACAAAGGTATCACTGACACCATTCTTACCAATCATAATCACATTATCCTAGAAAAATAATTTTTAAAAAGTTTATTATTTTGTTGTAAATTGTGCATATCAATTTAAATAACTATTAATTTTTCAATCATTTGTTAAGATTCAGAGAAATGTATAAATAAGCTTTCCTAAAGAAATAAGTACTGAAGAGGTATGCTTTATGAATCATGTTTTTCTAATTTTGCATTCATTATTTTTACTTATTTGGTCATCAGAATTTTAATATAACAACTTATGTTTTAAGGATCTGTATTTAAAAGTATAGATACAAAAGTATAGAATTGAAAAAAAAATGAAAGCAGCCACAACAACATAAACGCGTGAAAGACTGTATTTGTGCTCTTACTAACAAATAAGGTTCAAACTGAGAATTTCACCTGCTTCAGCTCACTGTACTAGAATCTTTTGCTGTAATCTTGTAGATTTCTAGGAAGTACTTTCCTCAATAAAAATTTTTAAATGTCAGGTGTATCTTTCTTCTGTTTAAAATGCCAGGTGATTAATTCCCTATGAGAAAACAAGTTATAAAAAAATATCATTTTATTTTTTTAAATTTTTTTATTAGTTGCTCAAAACATTACAATGATCTTGACATATCATGCATTTGATTCAAATTTTTCCACGTGTACAGATTGCAGTATCACATTGGTTATACAGCCACGTTTATACATACAGCCATACTAGTGTCTGTTGTATACTGCTACCCTTCCTATAATCCAAGTCTACTCAACAGTTTTTGAAGTTAAAAGTAAGTGTATTGGCAATCTAGCTATTCCCCACTCAGGAGAATAGTATTAGTTTTCTATTACTGATAAAAATAAATTGTCAAAATATAATGACCTAAGACAAAATGTATTTATTAGGTTATTGTGTTAATAGGCGTAAGTCTAGACTTGGTTGGTAGAGATCGCCCTCACCCCCAGACACAACAGTTCTCTATTTCCTTGTCATTTGTTCTTTCTATGGGTCACCTACATCCCTTGGCTCATGGCTCCAACTTCAATCTTCCCAATAAACAGAATGGCATCCTTTCTCCTCTCTGACATTTTACCTACCTTTTAAAAGGCACCCTATGGTTAATGTAAACCTACCTGAAAATAATATTCCTGTTTTAAGATCTTTAATCATACCTGACATATTCATTTTGTCATGTAAATGAACATATTCACATACTCCAGGGATTTGGAAGAGTCCATCTTTGATGGGTATATCAAGGCTACCTATTTCAAGAATCATTAAAATAGTCAAAAAAAAAGACATACGTGCATTCATAAGATGTGATTGGAATTGTGCATTTGAAAAAATAATCTGATAGCTTTGTAAAAAAAATCCCAAAGAAAAGTTACCTTGTTAGTAACTGAGTATTCCATAATTCATTATTTATTAGTAATCATATGTTTATACACATATATTCAAAAAGAAATAACATGCTTGCTATCCATCTTTGTAAACATTTCAATCTTTATAAGTTGTTCACACCTCAAATTATTCACCTAAGTCCAAGTTTATAGGTATTTTTAGCTATATTTTGCTAGAAAAAAATAAATAAGGGAGACTGGAGGGAAATAGGGATGTAAAGGGGAAAAAGTAAGAATGGAAGGTAGTCATACAACCAATTATATAATATTACCACCAGAAATAAACAGCTGCATCTAATCTGACACTACAATCTAAAATATACAGGATATTATATAAAATGATAAAGAAATAAAAGGGTAACACAGGCCTACTATTCTTCCACCTAATCAGCTCCCAGAACCTTTCATGAACTGCCTTAAGTTCTACTAAAGGTATTGCTGTTTGCCTTACACATTTGCTTAAATTTTCCCCATAGTTGAATATAAATTCACAAAATGTGGCAAAGAGTCTATTTATTACTCTGTATCTCTTCCCTTAGCAACACAGATCATTATTAAATATAACCAAATCTTGAGCTACAAATTGTAAACTTTTAACACTATTGAACATGCAGTTCTTGGATATTTACCAGTTCTGCAGCAGTAAACCAACCCTGGGATGTCACAGTTACTGCCATAAAATATTAATGCTACATCTTAAAAGGGAGAAATGAATGCCAAGGAAAGATTTTGAAAGTCTATTTTATTCTTGTCCTATGAGGTTTTATAATTTTCATAATTATACAAACTAGTAAAAACAGTTTACAAATTAGCAGCACTTGATCATAATGTTCACAATAAAATAACAGTTTTATACAATCAAATTTAATGAAAGGAGTTTAGGGGAAAGCAGTGGTATGCATGACAGTTTATAAATAAGGAACATACTCACCTAGAAAAGATCTCCATGTCAGAGAAATTTGGTGCCAAAACCCAAATGAATGTTACTCCTTCTCTTTCTTTATCACGTAGTGAAATAAGGGGTTTTGTTTTCTTTCCCATAAGGAAGGAAAAAGGGCAGAATTAAGATACAAAAAAAGACACTATGTAGTGTCTTGAATTTTCTATTTACAGTAACTAATTCCCAAGAGTCACTTGTGAAGATAAATTAGATGAAAGCATAAAAGTTTCAAAGAAAATATGACTTTGCCGTCTCAATTTTATAAATGTTAATCATCTGTATATAATATCTACATTTACTTTGTGGAAGAAGACATTGGTTAAATATCCTCTAGGCACATTTTAAAGGCGATTAAAAAACATTGCTTCCCTAATAGTTTACAGTATAACAGACAATATGAAGATAAAGTATGTGCATAAATATAGGCCTAAATTCCCCCCAGTCATACAAAAGTACATGCTTAGACTACAGGTATGCATTGATTGCTTGACCAGATAGGTGAGGGCATCTGTGACCTTGAAAGTTTCCCTGGAATCAGTATTACAATTTTCAAGAAAAAAATGAAGGAATGCAAAAGTGAATCTCAGAAAAATACTCCTGAACTATCCCTGTAAATGTGAATTAACATGACATAGAATCAGAGTTTAAGGAAGGATACAATTGTAGGAGTATGGAAAACTATCTTATGTATACCAGGAACTATGTTACCTCTGAGTATATCAAGATGCATGACAGTCTTAATTTCAAGTTCACAGCTGATAGGAATAACCAACATGTCACTGCAATGCAGTGCAATACGTTATGACATTGTGATATGTGCAAAAATAGAAGTATGTATGTAAGAATGAAGAGGAGAAGACTGACTCTTCCAGGAAAACACTCTCCTAGGAGGAGATGGTGTTTTCTGGTGAATGAGAAATAGAAGTTTCTAAAAATGTAGTGTGTGGGAAGAGAATGTGGAGGTGTGACAAGGATAAGTATTGTGTTCGACCCTACCATTTTCCCAGTGATATGTGATTCACAACGGTACATTGACTCAGGGTAGAATACAGACTAAAGTGTCTGACCTGTTCAGGGAGTGGAAGTAGTATCCAGTGCAATAGTCCACTGACCATCCCAGAAGGGCTGAGTCAGGGAATACTACTATAAAAAAGAAAGAGACTACTGAATTAATTTGAAAAAAAAAATTAAAACAAGTTAGCATATGCCAAAGTACAGGGAAGCGGGAGAAATAAAAGATCATTTATTTCAACATGTTTGCACATCCGTGAAGTCCTAAACAGGAAGATCTCAAGCTCAAGGAGAGCTTCCATAACTTGTCAGGAACCCATTTCAAAAATAATAATAAAAAAAAGCTGCAATGTAGCACAGTGGTAGAGTGCCCCTGGGTTTAATCTCTTTTACCAAAAAACTTAAGAAATAAACATCATTTCAAGTTTGAGAATTGGAAGAGTGGGAATTAATGCTATCAATGAAAATATAAACTGTGTCAACTAAATATAAACAGAAAATCTGAACTCAGTAGAGTTTAAGAGGTGTATTTTGATCATACTGAATTTTAGGTTCCTGAGGGCATCAAAATTTTGATGTTCACATGAACACTTGAGTAGGTGGTTCAGGGTCTTCAAGATGATTAAATTAAATATGGAGCAAATCCATCTCCATATCATTACATCTTACATTTTTTTGAGGTTGGTGAAATATTCAGAAAAGAAAGGATAATGGTCCCTTCTGGTTTGGAGTGAAGGGAAAGATATCAGGATGCAGCACCAAGTGGTGTTTCTGCTATTCACAATGTCCTTGACTTATGTAATAGATTGCACAGGTGTTTACAGTTGTTTGATGGAGTGTATAATCTGTTTCATGTGTTTCTCAGTTTGTGCATTATATTTGTCATAAGAGTTTTAAAGATGAAGTTATAATTTACTGTTTTATTCTGGTGAATCATGAGTTCTCAGCCATTTTAACTAACAAATTTAAAGAATTGTTTTCACCCTATGATATATAAATTTACATATTGATATTCATTTTCAAGTATAGGCTTTGATATAATTTCTAGTGGTATAAATATAATTTTTGTTTTTTGAAGTATAAAAGCTAGTCTACTCTGGAAAATACTATGGGGAATAAAAAAGAAGTATTTGAGGAAGGATGTGGTATAATTATGAATTCACCATCATGGGTTTACTGTGAAAATAATTCCATGCAAATACTTATTTAAATATTTAAAGAAGTGTAAGGATAGAGATAAATATAGATGGATGAATTGATTGAGCATTAATTGAAGTATGCACCTGTATTTACAAATGATACTTTCCAAGTATAAGCTGAATTCAACTATTTCTAAAGATTAAGTCCCAGTAAAGATTAAAAAAATATACAACCCCAGTGACCTTAGAAGCAAGAAATATTTATTATAGGCTAATTAAGAACAGTTTTTTCTATACTGTTATGAATAAAATATAAATTTAAGGACGTTTTTTAGTTTCAGAACTATATAGTTGTGTGATTTAAGACTTCACTAAAGAAAATATTAAGGAATGTAGGTAGAATAGGGTTCAATTCTATCATGTAATGCCATTATTTAAAAAAAAAATGTTTGTATGATTTACTTAAAGAACCTCAGTACATCCTTTATGCTTGGTCAATATCTTAGATCTGGTGCCATGGGAAACAAGTGCTAAGAAGAAGATCTCCATGCAAGAGGTTAATTGGTGAGTACCCTATAACCAAAACTTGTAGAGAAATAAAAACAGTAAGATTGCTTGCAGAGAGGAGTTAATTTGTGAATCTTTGATGCAGTCACAAAAAAAGATTCCACAGCAAGTGATCCCATAGTGAATTCCGGAGACAAGGTTGCCCTTCAGAGTTGCCTCTTCAGCAATGGTAAAGGGGAGAAGGTGTCTATTCCAGGGTTGAGCCAACTTTGAAGGAAGGTGCTTTTCTTAGATATATTTAGTTCTAAGGTACTTGTTCAGCATACAATAAGGAAGTACACCTTGGACATGATAGAGACTCATCAGTAAACAATACAAGTAATAAAACCTAGTTTTCTAACTTAAAAATGTAAATATGAAAACGGACCAATGCAGGACACTTTAAATGCATCCCTAAGGGTAGCAAGTGACATAGGTCATAATGGGATTCATTAAAATGGCCTAAATTCTGAAGTTCTTTTTAATCTAAAAAAAAAAAAGTAACATGATATTTTATTGTGTTTTCTATGGTTTTAGTTATTACTATTTTTCAATTATAATTGTAAGGCTCAAGCTCTATTTTTTTTCTTTTCTTACTTAAGGGGCATAAATACCATTAAATTGATGAAATAGTTGAGTGCAAAAATGAGGTGAGTCTTTTGTGCTCTGTAATAACCTTCCTTGTGCTGGATTTCTGATTTGGTGGCCTTTATTGACGGAAGAAAACACATTTTGTGAGCATGTCAACGAAAGATAGCATTTACAGCTTCTAAATAATTAGGTATTGATTAATTTCACCAAGAATATATGGACCATTTTTTTTCTAGCTTGCCCACTCTTAAAGATCATATAATTTCAGCTTGAGAAATCACAGAGCAGAACCTGGATTTCTAGTGGCTAGCTCCTATTGCCTATCCTTCACAATTACATTTGTGAGCTGCACTAGCCCCAAAGAGCACATGACTGATAGCTTCAGTTGTGTTGAACCTCCTAGATCTTCACTCTTGCATCAGGTTGAGTTAAGGAAGCTTACTAGTTTTTGTCTGAAAACTTTTCTTTAGAGTTACACATGAATATATGCATTAAGAAATTTTTAAAATGCAAGCCACATGTGATAAGCTATTCATAACTGGGAAGAAATAACAATCCAACCTAACATACTGGAACTCCCAAATTAAGGATGCAAATGTTTTTCAGACAAAAATTCATTAGATCAATGCCATGATCTTGAGTGAATGGCAGCACCACACTGTGAGTCAATGGCTATGGTGGCTATAGAGGGAAAATTATGTTTATGTTTTGATAATTTGACTACTTTTAACCTGAAATGATGTTAAAAGTATAAATCATAGCATTTGTTGATACATAAATAAAGGTACATATATAATTAGTCTAGACATACAGATAGAGAACTATTGATTATTACAAGATGCAGATATAATGTCCTTTTGGCTGAAAGCATCTGAAATTTCTACTTACACATGATATACATTCAGCTTTGTGATATACTAAATAATGGGACTCATTAAAATGGCCTAAATTCTGAAGTTCTTTTAAATCTAAAACCAGATAACACAATATTCTATTGTATTTTCTATGGTTTTAGTTATATATCAAATAATGTCCAGCATGGCTAAAACATCAAGGATTTTTTTACTCTGAAAATATTCACACAAAACTTTGTTTACTTCACTGCAAAATTTAGAATTACTTCCCTAAATTTATCCAAGCAACAGTCATTTAAAAGAAGTCTGTCTTCCAGCTCAGGAGACAAATTGCTTTCAAAACAGATAATAGGGTTAGTAATAAGTTCAGCAATTTGAGGTGTATAATATTAATAAACATTGCTCCTCCTTCTGGAAATGTCTAAAGAGGTCAATGGAACATATCTTCCTGCATTTCCCTATGATAATATGAAAATTTACAAACATTTATCTCCCTCTGCTTCTTAAGAAATATGTAATCAGTGATACTCATAATATTAAACTCTACTTACTTTGTGACATACAACTCTATTACAGTATACAGCAACAAGCAGATGAGTATGTGATTAATATTTACCCCAAAGCATTCAACTTCACAGGGCAGGAGATCTGTACACAACCTCTTATACATCATAAGGAAGCCTACTTAAAATGTGGTGAACATGACAGAAAAATAATTCAGTGATTAAGAAAAAATTGGTATCAAAATCACTAATGGTTTTAAGCATTAAATTCAAAGTTATGATCAATGTCATTTTAACATATTGCTGTTATTTATTTATTTTTTTTTTTTTAAAGACCATATCAGCTACCCAAGATGAACTGCAAACTCAAAAAGCAGGATGGTTGCAAATGTCCAGCTATTTCTTTTTCATTTTCTTCTGAGGTAATTAAATTAAAATAGTTTTGATAAATATGCCTCCATGCTTCTACCTTAATAATGCAAATTCCAACAAGGCTATGCAAATAAGTACAGTCTGTCTATTTATTTATTTGTGGTTTGGTGTGGAGCACTAAATTATCTGGATGAATTTAGTTTATTTTAGTAGTAGTGTTAATGGGTGGATTCTGAAGATCATCACACGTAGAGACTTCAGGATTTATTAATTCATTTATCAGTACAATAAATATTTAGTGCATTTCCCACCAGGCATCCTTCCAGGCCTCCCTATTCAGTAAAGAACAAATCTAGTAGGAGATGGAGAAAAAAAAATTTACACAATTTTTTATATCAGGAAATATGTGATAAGATGCAAAATAAGTAGGGGCAGTGGGTAGAGAATTTCACAAGAGTAGAATTTTTGAAAAGGTAGCCAGGAAAGGCCTTTCGAGAATTTGACCTTGGACCTGAGGCCAGCGTTCTGCAGAGGTCTTGGTAGAGAAGGTTGTAGAAATTTAGAAGTTGCAGCTGAAGGAAAACAAGATAAATGCTCAGAGACAGCATTCTTAGCTAGAGATTTGTAGTAGCAGCTATTTTAAGACAGAATTAGAAGTGTTCAAAGCGAAGGACCACTTTCGTCTCTTTCTCGTATGGAGAAACATGGTATTATACTGAAAAGTATATGAAACTCAAAAGAGGGGACTTGGGAAATTGATATCTTGATATACCTGAGTCAGGTTTGACTTTCATAGCACAAAATTATGCTGGACAGCAAACTGCTTTATCTGATATTACCCCAGAATCTTACTTGCAGTCTACATTATAGGGGACATTTGTGATACCAAGGACATATCTATGACATGATTGACACTATTAAAGTATCAACAATTTTTATCTGCACAGTAATACTTTTGCTTGTATACAATTCATTTCTTCATAAATTGCCTTCTTTGTTTTTTTAAAGAGAGAGAGAGAGAGAGAGAGAGAGAGAGAGAAAGAGAGAGAGAGAGAATTTTTTAATATTTATTTTTTTCAGTTTTTGGTGGACACAACATCTTTATTTTATGTGATGCTGAGGATCGAACTCAGCTCCCCAAGCATGCCAAGCGAGCACATTACCACTTGAGCGATATCCCCAGCCCATAAATTGCCTTCTTGACTGATGAATTAACAGGGAGGAGTTAGTGAGTTGGACATCTATTCTAACCTTTATAATGACATAGTGGCCAATACCTGAATTGCTCATCTGCTGAATGGAAAGTACATCAGTGTCACTTTTGACCCCTGGAACAACTGATGGTGATTCTAGAAAGATCTCCTCACATTAACACAGTCCTGGACTGGGAGTCATGGCTTGGCAATTAAAAAGGCTGGCTTTCAAACCAGTTAACCACAATTGTGCCGAATCCAACTTGCCCCAGGGTGCATATGAGCACGAATGAATTTTATCCGTGAAAAACATAACCAAGAGAAAAGTATAAATAAAGTATTACTTGTCTTCTGCAACTCCAATTAGGTATGTTAGAAACAGGAAATTATTTGTTCTACCAAATTAAAGTTAATGTAATAAAAAACTGCCTAAGATTATTTTCCCTTTCTTCCTCACTTCTTTATTTCTCTCACTTCTAGATGCAATAAGTTCTTTTATTTCTGATTAAAATTTTTACTTTTCTCACACATTGATGTTTTATATATATATATATATATGTATATGTATATATATACATATATGAATTATGTATTTTATCTATATTAATAAATGTTCATTTATTATTCAATGCTTTAAGAATTTTATGCTGACTGTAACTTCGATCTTCAATTTGTCTGTTATAAATGCTATGCTTCAATTTAGAATTAAATATTTTCCAGTAAATATAGCATGGCCCAAGCAGCCTCACATGATGTGTGGTACAATCAAACTCACTACTTGTAGTGGTACTATTTGTGAGTCATTTTATTTTGTGCATTGCCTGAATAATTTTAAAGTCAAACTTGTAGTATTTTTTGTTTTATATTAAGTTTTCCACTGCCTTTGAAATTCCCCCTCATATTTCATAGTTATGAATTAAACAAGAGATCATTTCAATTTCTTCTAAAAAATTTATTATGAGTTTGGAAATACCTTTTCCTAATATTCTGTTGCATTATTTGAGGGTAACAGAAAACTAATAAAGTACAAAGAAGTGAAAATAATAGGTTTGAGATATATTATAAGGTACTTATTTACACATACTGAAGGTGACATTGAACAGAGCCATATAATCCCTGATACTAGATCACATTTTTCTCAGTTGTCAAAAAGCTAACCCTGAATTTAGTCAAACAATATAAACAATATAAAGTGATACTCTCCTTATGTATTTCTAGTTATAATTTTTCCAGGTAATTTGTTATAAACAAAGAGCCTCTAGGTGCATTTGTAGTGATTTCCAGCAACTAGGTAATTTCTATGACTAAATGCATTAAAATATATAGAAATAAATTTGGATTAGGAGTAAATTTATTGAATTTACTTATCTAGTTTTATTGTTTTCTTTAGATTAATTTCAGTACAGATATAATTAGGTCAAAATTCTCACTAATTTTTTAATTTCTTTTGTACTCTGTGATTAACTGCTTTAATTGAAATTTCACAAATAATTACTAATAGGTGAATACTCTCTATTGTACTGTCTTACATACACTGTATTTATGTTTTTTAAAATGTATATTATTTCTTTACAAATCACTGGAGTTGAGACCAACCGTGTTAGCATGGAATTGTATAAATCTTAGCATTTTTACAAAGAGAGAGTAAAAAGAAGAAAAAAAAAAAGAAAATATGGGCAACAATGAAGTGAGAAATCCAGAAAAAAAACACATGAAGTGGGATATACTAGGTGGAAGACCTCATCAAAACTGCCTCACTACAAGCAGTGACCACTTGCAGTGTCATTGCATACATATGTGCTGACTAGTCACCACCACGTCCATGTCACTGCCCTTTCCAAGGACTGCTTGCTCAAGGGCAAAAGTCTCAAGAATGTATGTTGCATTGTGCAAACACAGGCCGAGGGTCTTTTTTTAAAAAATTCTATATTTTGTGGAGAAAGGAAGATCTTTGCCTTCTTTCCCTATATTGAGAATAAATAATATTCGCTTCCCTGGCTTCCACAAAGATATCAACAAAGTGGTCAAGTAAACAGAGATTAAATAATAAATATCACCATTTCATTGTGTGAAAATAATAGGATTTTAAAAGTTTTTCTCTATAAGCAGTCATATTTGCTGAT